TGAGTACTAGATCGTTGTTAAAGGCTTGCTGGAGCGTGGCTGTAATGTAGGGCTCCTGTAGTTGTCTGAGTACTAGATCGTTGTTAAAGGCTTGCTGGAGCGTGGCTGTAATGTAGGGCTCCTGTAGTTGTCTGAGTACTAGATCGTTGTTAAAGGCTTGCTGGAGCGTGGCTGTAATGTAGGGCTCCTTTAGTTGTCTGAGTACTAGATCATTGTCAAAGGCTTGCTAGAGCGTGGCTGTAATTTAGGGCTCCTGTAGTTGTCTGAGTACTAGATCATTGTCAAGGGCTTGCTGGAGCGTGGCTGTAATGTAGGGCTCCTGTAGTTATCTGAGTACTAGATCGTTGTTAAAGGCTTGCTGGAGCGTGGCTGTAATGTAGGGCTCCTGTAGTTGTCTGAGTACTAGATCGTTGTTAAAGGCTTGCTGGAGCGTGGCTGTAATGTAGGGCTCCTGTAGTTGTCTGAGTACTAGATCGTTGTTAAAGGCTTGCTGGAGAAAGGAGCCCTACATTACAGCCACGCTCTAGTTGTCTGAGTACTAGATCGTTGTCAAAGGCTTGCTAGAGCGTGGCTGTAATTTAGGGCTCCTGTAGTTGTCTGAGTACTAGATCGTTGTCAAGGGCTTGCTGGAGCGTGGCTGTAATGTAGGGCTCCTGTAGTTGTCTGAGTACTAGATCGTTGTCAAAGGCTTGCTGGATCGTGGCTGTAATGTAGGGCTCCTGTAGTTGTCTGAGTACTAGATCGTTGTCAAAGGCTTGCTGGAGCGTGGCTGTAATTTAGGGCTCCTGTAGTTGTCTGAGTACTAGATCATTGTCAAAGGCTTGCTGGAGCGTGGCTGTAATGTAGAGCTCCTGTAGTTATCTGAAAGTGTGATTCTTGAAAATTGTTCTGTAAAAGAAGACTTAGTGGTGAGCTATTAGTTAACAACTGGAAATCAAAGGTTATTAATTACTAAAGTTGTGTCTTTGTTGTTCTTTGGTTTTCTTGTATTTATGTAGAAGGCATGTTTGGTTTATCCTCTTTTTCCATAGTTTTTGTTGTCAAGAATCTTGTAATTGTGCCAGGTAATGGATTTCATTCTTGAGCCTTTTTTAAAGCGAGAATCCTACAATCCTACATCACAGCCACACTTCAGCAAGTTTTTGATAAAGACTGTACACTCATCAAGGTCTCATTCAAGTTTGCAGTGTAGTGACATAATCATCATCATGTTCCCACTGGGTCTGGTCTTTTAGGAAATACATGCTAACCATCTTGATACTGGAAGATCTGAAGTCTGGTTACCTAAAAATCATTGCTCACTAACTTTTGTCCATAAGATTCAGTACTTCCAAGGCTGTTGGAGTAAATAAACTTTTTTCATTATGAAAAAATAGACAAAATTATCCGTCAAGAAAGTTTTGATTTTGTAATTACTAAATTATAAATTAAAATATCAAAAATTTCTGTTAAACAAGTAACTTGATGTAATTTTATCATTTTTTAAGATTTTGTGTGCATTTATTTTAGTCAAGACTGCATGATATGAACAATACTTATTAACATTTGTTCAGTTGATTGGCCATTATCTTAAGTATTTGTTTTTATTTTACTATTTACAGGTGGTAAACTGTCTACATTCTCTTGGTGGTCTTGTAAGTATATTTGATCTTCAAATATTTTTGTACAATCTCAATATCTTGTGTTATACATAAAACTACAGATGTATTAAAAACCTTTTTTTATATGGCTCTAAGATTCAATTGTCATGAGCAATTTGATGATCATCATACATTATAGATTAAAAATACATTTTTATCTTGTGTCTGAAGCAATTTGAATTCAACTGAATAAGCTTACTGATGTTTTTTAAATACTGTTCCTTAGTTATATTTATTAGAAGTTAATCTCCAAGAGTAAAAGAAAACACACATACACTTAACTTTAATTCCAAGATTATATGCCCTTAAAATTACCATAAAATGATTATGATTGAATTGATAATTTTTTTTTGTGTATATAAACTGTTTTATAGTGAATGGATATTTTAATTATACCAAGTTAATTCTTCATGTGGTCTGAAGAGAAAACTGTGTACATATTTAAGTCAGTAATTGGTAAAATCTGTCAGTGGTGCATATTCTAAATTAGAATTGCTGTTCATTTATTTGTGAAATTGCTATTTCAGAGAAAGAGAAAAATGGTTTTCGTTTGGCTATTTAGATTTTAAAGTACATGTATTAAACTTTACATTTAAGTGCATTTATTTGAAAAGGTTTTAGATTTAGAGTTAAAGACATTTTGTTGTGAAATAATTAGTTCTAATTGTCTCCAACTTTGAAAGAAGATGTACTATAGTGCAAGCAAACCTCTGGTAAAGAGGATTGAAGTTATTTGAATATAATCAACCATCACACACTAGTCCTGATGGTGGTAACTGTTTTATGAAAACTAATTACCAATAACTAATAATAATGATTTTACCTTTCATTTTCCCCAAAAAAAATATTTTTGTTTTTTATTCATAATATATAAGCACAATGTGCCTGAAAAGAAATTATAATCAACCACCTCATCTGCAGTTTGTAGTGAAATGAAGTCCTACTAGTCACCTTAAAAGTCATATAAAATGAGTGAGATTTTAGAATTTTTATCATATATCCAGTTTTTACACTAGCTGAGAAAGCCTTTATTGAACTTTTTCCTCATTTTTAATTGATGCTTGTAGGCTCAAAAAAATGGATTTGATGGACCAGTCATAGGAGTGAAAGTAGCAGAGGAAAATAAGCGAGCCTTTACCAAGGAACAAATAGAAATGGGTAAAACTGTGCTTAGCCTTCAGACAGGAACTAACAGAGGAGCTTCTCAAGCTGGAATGACTCCTTATGGTTCTATTCGACAAATTCTTCCTGACAGGAGATGAAACTTAATAAAAATCAAACAGGAGGCAAATTATGTTTTTATTTGATTTTAAATTTTGTATTCATTTTTTCCTTTGTGGCCAGATAAATTAGAATTTAAATTAAAGTCTTTTTTTGTTTTTGTACATATGTTAGACATCTGAGTAATTATTTTGAAGTTTTACATTTTTGATAAACAAGATATCAAAAGGTCACGTTTTAAGAGCTTCAGTTGTACTGAAAATTTTTGTGTGAGCTCTTAGCTCGTATAGTAATATTAAACAATGTTTACGTTAATGTAACAATATTGTGAGTATTCAAGAACATTGTGTTCTAAATGTGTTCAAAAGGCTTTACTTATAATTGACTACTGTTGACCGTTGGGTCAGATAGCATCTTTTTTTTTTTTAAATGACTGAATATGTTTTATGTGATTTAATCTAGAAAGCAAGAGAACCTTACATCAATATTTTTATTACATGGCTGAAGTTTTCTCTGTACTAATGAATCTGTTATTTAAACTTAGTAAGAAAACTTTGTAGTGTAGTAGGGAAAGTGCATACTTAGGGCAAGTGCAAAAAAAATTTATTTACTTACCAAATAAAGTTAAATTTCTTTTAAGCTTTTATTGTAACCATTAGTGCCTTTCTGGTATTGAACTGTTGATAGGTTTTTGCATTTTTTTTTTTCCATGAATTGTTATGCAAGGAAGACTTGTGACTTTATAACTTTTATTTTCATTAATTAACACCAAATGTTTGTAGTTTAGATATGAAATAGGTTATTGAAGCTTAGAGACTTAATATTAAACTATGATTTATTCAGTGTACCACAGGTGTTTGGTAATCTTTATCTAACCTCCATTCTTGTTTCTGACATTTTTCTTTCCAAATGTGATTCAAGTTCTTATTTGTAACTGATGTTAAAATGTAGTGTAGTGTAGAGTCATTGGTCAATTTTCTGTGAATTGTGAAACATTTTGTTAAGTGAGCAGTCTGATAAACAGTTACAGATGTTACAAATCATTATTCCATTTCCCCCCCCCCCCATCTTTTTTTTTCTGTTAATGTTTGTTTCTTTTGTTTTTAATAAGTAATCTGTGTAATATTTTTTTAACTATTGATTTTGTATTGGAAGTGTTTTAAGTGCTTTTGATAACATTTCAAAGATATTCCATAATATTATGTTACAGTCATTTGACATATATAAAAGGCTTTGTGTTAATTGGTTTAATTTATAGATTCATCAATATTTGATATTCTGAAGGATAATAAATTTGGTAGAAATACTAGCTTTGTAGCTCTAGATTTCTTTTTGATCACAGATTCCATGTCATCAGTATTACAGGAAAGAAAGCCTCTGTTACAAAAATAAAGTATTTAGAAAACCTTCAACGATAAGTTTCTCATTGTGTATTGTTTGAATTACAAAACTAGAGTTGAAACTTGGTATGTTTTATAATAGGAAGTTAATACACTGTTGTTTTAAAAGAGATAAACCCCAGAAAATTGAAAATTCTGAGTAGTTATATTATCACTGATAAAAGGTTTGAACATGTATTAGATTTTGAAAATGAGTCATCAAAGAAAACCCTTTTACCTCATTTCTTATCCTCTTCACTATTATATTTGAGAATAGTTCTGGTAAGTGGATTTTAAATGCAATTAAACCTAAAAAATACTGCAACTTACAAAAATTGGTCATCTTCAGTTAAACATGTTCAGAATGCTTAGAACAAAATCATGTAAAGCAAAAGTTATTTCTGTTTAAGGATTCCTATATGTCTACAAAAAAAATGTTCAAACGTTTTCATCATCACGTCATCCATTAATATTGCACTAGATTAATTTGAGCTGCCTGTCCCCCAGAAACTTTAGGGGACACCAAAATGTCCCACTTTGGGAGATAATGAACTTAAATATCCAACATAATCAAAATTAATACTGGAAAGTGCTAACGTACTATGACTGGGCATAAGATTTGTCCTGACCTCATACAATATCCTTCATTTTCATATATTAATGTTCAAATGCATAGATCATCATATATTTATTGAGGATATAATAATATGAAATTAGCTTGTTTATTGTATCATAAAACATCATTAGGCATTTACCTTTAAACTATGAAATCATTGAAATATCATATATTAGTGTTTAGTACATAGTAATATTGTTATAACTGACAAAATATGAAATTAGTTTGTTTTATTTTGGTATATATGCTGAATGTCCAAAACATGTTAGGTTGTTTAAGAAAATATTCTCCAGTAAGAATTATAAGTATTAAATAGTATTTTTCATGAATGTCATTCTTATTTATTGCATGTTTCCAAAATGCACTCCTGATTTGTTAAAGAAAATAATATCTAATGAAAGTATTATAATAATAAGATGATATGCATTTTTATGAAAAGAAGTTTTAATTTTTTTAATGCAACCAATTTTTTATTTATCAGTTAAGTGTCCTGCTTTGAACTCCAGAAAATCTGGTCACTTTACAGTAGATATCAGCTGGTACCATCTCTTTCAGTATAGTTTTCATGAAAAGAAAACTGTTTCTTGTTTAATACACACAACTTTGGCATTTTCAGCATTCACGCAAGAAATGTGTGGTTGTAGAAAACTATGGAATTACAGTTTGTAACCAAAAATTGTTTGTCACTTTGATCAGCATATAGCACAATCATGATTATCTTTTGGTTGAGATGGCCATAAACTTGTCATAATAGACTCAAAAAATGGCTTGATTTGTAAAACTTGCTAAGTCTTTAAATTTGACACTTTCCCAAATCGGTAATAATTAATATAAAGTATCCCTTTTTTCTTTAGCTATATAGAACAAATATGGAAATAAAAACATCAGCCTGGTTATTAGCATACTAAAAAATATATATATAATTTTTTTTACATATCAACAGGAAAGACCCTGCTAATTTCAACAAATAGTGAACCCTTTTATACCCAAGTAGATGTTGGGTTTAATGCCAGAAATAATGAACAGTTAGTGTACCCAACTAAATAAACATTTTATTCTAATCATTATAAGTAAGATGGTTTGTACAATATATTTAATTAGTTATGCTCATTACTAGGTATATTTTTAGTTATCTGTATAGGAAGCTTACTTTGATCAGAAGTTAATATTAATTACTACACTGAGTTAACTCTTGACACTATATTAAACCTTATTGAACTGGTATGAGCTTGGTTTTTAATACACGTATGCATTACTATATAAAATGCTTTTTATAACTCGCAGAAACTGCATCTTACAAACCTCTCAAAAACCACTTTCTGACCTCTGCACTGGGGAATATACCTTAAGATATTTACCCCCATTGAAACTTTAGTTTTTATTTACTATTTGTTGGTTTTGTAACAGCAAACTTATTCAACAGTCATTATCAGTGAATGATGTACATCAGTATTTAAACTTTTTCCGAGTTACTATTTGTTGGTTTTGTAAGAGCAAAATTAAAATATCACCATGTATCTATTTAATGTCATCTCATTGTAGAAACAATAATTTACTGATTTCAGATAATGCTGGTGACTATTTTCCTACACCAAATCATTCAAATTAATAAGAGAACATGAAACTTCCCCGATGGAAATTGGGTATGGGGGTGTTTTATTTCAGAATTTGTCTAAGGAAATTAATCTTTGTAATAGACTGTGTTAGTTACAGTACAGTGAGAGTGCTATGTATTTTTATAACAGTAGTAGTTTCGATTTTTTTTTCACAGCTTGCTCAGAATATCACATGGAGTGTAAAAAAAAATCAAAGTATTGTTACTTAATCATTAAAAGCATATTTAATGACTTATGTTACCATTTCATTGACCCTTTTATTCTATGAATGTATTTTGATATTAAAAACTCAACTGATTTCAAAGTATATTTATTATCAGGAAATGTGATGTACTGTTTAAATACTGAGTTTTTGATGGTTCTTTTCAAGTTGAAATAGTACGACTATTTCATACAAAACTTTCAATTATTTTTCATGGATACAACTTGTGTGTGTATAATTTTTTTTGTATGGAATGGGTAAAGTGCCAAATAGTTAATTTCTGTAGTGCATATTGGTGTATAGAAGACATATTAATACTGGATATAAATTACCTTATAACACCAAAATGTTTTTATTTAATTAGACACCTTTATCCAAAATGACAATAAAATGCTTCAAATGGTTTTTGTTTTAGTGAACACTCCTGAAGAAGCTGTAAAGTGAAACATTGAGTGTCTAATTAAATAAAATCATTCTGGTATTATAAGGTTGTTTATTTCTAGTATTAAAATGCCAAATAGATGATTAAGGATTTTTGTAACCACCAGACATATAAAATGTGTTACCTGTTATACTTAAATGAAAATTTTTACAACTGTTGATTGTACATTATAATTAACATTAATGGTAGAAATCAGTGTGTCTATGTGTAACAGGTACTGTTTTACAATACATTTTGAAAATCTGTTAAAATGATACATGTCAACAGTGGCCTCACATTCTTACCATGAAGTGTGGTAATCACATAAGTGTTGTAGGCACTTAACAACCCTGTTCATTATGAAGTTAAGTATTAAACATTTACAAGTATTCCAGGAAGCTAGGATTACTACTTAGAAAATGTTGTTAAAATCTATCATTAAGATGACATGCATATTTCATTCAAGTTGTCATGTGTGGTTCTTGACATTGTTTCAAGTGTTGTATGGTATTTATATCTAGCTTGCCCATTACTAGCTGTGTTTCATTTAAATATACTTCAGTATTTGGTCTGTGTATATACTTCTCTTTTCACAAATATACATACATGGGCAAATGGTTTACAGAAATGGTGCAGTTAAAAATGCACAGGAATTTTTTCTCTCTCACATGCAAGTTGGTAGGTTTAATCTAAAAGAAATAAACTACAACTTGTTATAAACATAGTTAAGCTAAGCTTCTTAAAGTATCCTCAAGATGTAATTTCTCTTTCCACCAAGACATGTTGTAAACTAGTTATTCATATGGTTAACTTAAATACCTAGAAAGTACAAACTGTTCTTTTAAGTTAAGCATCTGAATATCCAGCTTACAACATGTCCATTGAAAGAAAACTTTTACTGATCTTTACACCTGCATTGACAGCTGTATAAAATCTTCAATTGTATTTTTTTTTTATTTCCTTTTTTATAAATATTATTGTTTAATTAGTGTGAAACTAAAGATTTAGCATACAACGCTTTCCCATTAGCATTAAGATATTTTTGTTATTGGTATGAAGAAGTTGACAGAATTTTACAGTCAGATGGGTTTTTTTTTCTGTAAATGTACAAGATTATAGTGCTAAAATATTGAACATTCCTGCTTATCCTGTATTAGGTACAACAAGTCAAACAAAACAGAGATTATTTAGACTTTGATATAAATTATTTTGCAGGATTTATATGAAATATACTGATGTATGGATTTTATCTCTTATTAAATATTTCTTGGCAGTACAATTAAGAAATTTCTCAATTATTAGATATATATTAGCTGGATGCTTTTTTGATAAAATGTATTGTATCTATATGAAGACTTTATTAAAAATATACTTAATGTAAAAAGCCTCAAGATGCCTTTACAGGCATGGCAACTTTCATCCATAAATAATTTTAAAAATTACTGGATGATTTTAACAAAACTATCTCTTTTAATTAATTATAAATATCTTATAGAAATCAACAGTGGTAAATGCCAAAAGCTGGGAAAGCAGTGGATACCATTAGGCCTAGTTCTTTTGATAAAAATTATGCCCAACTATTTTTTGTGTTTTTCACTTTTAATTGTTTGATCTGCTCAGGAGTGAATTATGGTAGACAAATGATAAATTTGAAATATTTTTACACGTTTGTGATTTTAACGTTGTACCAGTTTAATAACCAAGAGAAGAAAATGACAACTAAAGAAAATCCTCAATCAAGTGCGTGATTTCTTCCACAAATATTAGGCTTAACATTTAAAATACACTGCACCACTTGTTCCACATTTTTGTTTACTGAAACTCAGAAACTTTACAACATTAGCTGTAATAAGGAGTTAGTGTGCACAAATGAGAATGAAAGGATGTTAATGCATTACACCTGCAAGAAAAGTACACATAACAGATTGAAGCACATCATCTAACCAAAGAGATGTTACACATTATTAAGTCTTGTCGAAGTTGAAAAAACTGCACAGTAACATACTACAAAAATGAACTTTAATCTGTACATGTTTCAGATTCACATCATAATTTTAGTATCAATACAGTAAAATAGTCCTTGTAATGTCACTATTCTTACAACACATGCACCATGCTAAAATAACAAAGTGTACTTGTAGATTGAAATTAACAAGTTAGTTTTCAAATCCTCATACACAAGTACAGATGCAATGATAAAAAAAAAATTCATAAACATACAAATAAATATGACAAAAATACTTATAATTGACCAGTAACATTTAAGCTCCGAGATGGAAGAAATATTACAAAAATTTCACATTTAAAATTTTAAGAACTGGGAACCCTTTAGCAAGGTTAATAAAACAAATCAAGCTTCATATCTGTGAGTACTTTATTTGTTTTTGGTGATAAATTGGAAATATTACAATTTGGTTCCAAGTGTGGCTTGCAAAATGTATGTTATTTGGAAAATAAATACTGAAAAACTAAGTTTTCTGAAAACTTACAAAAAAACAAGTCAGTGTTAATGAAACAAAAATACTATGTAAATATTTCATGCTACCCTTCTGAATGAACTTTAACAACTTCAGGAAATTGTGAAAATATTGTACTATTTTGTTGTTAGTATAATTACAACTTTACACTGCAAACTTGCTTTTTAACAATAAATGTCTTCTATAAAACCTGGCACTTAATATGAGAGTAGGATTATGGTTTAATTACTATAAGGTTGGACTAATCTTTGAATTTAAGGTTGACATGTAAAATAAGTACAAAACACAACCACGCCAGAACAGAATCTTTTGCATACATCTTACCAGACAAATGACTATTAACTTTCAACAGTAATCAGAATTTTATATGTCCCCTACATGTGGCTGTTCTTGTACATATTTTATCATTTATACAAAATGCTACAAATAATAAAAAACGTGCATCAATACTTTAGATTTCTCATCATAAAACTTAAATGGAAATGGTATACCTACGAATATTTATATTATAAATACCAATACTTTCTACATACATGCCACTAATTCTGTGTGGCCAAATTTGTCATTCTTTACAATATAATTCTAGTATATTTCCAACAGCAATGATTTACCTATAAAACTTACCAAATGATGTTGTGTCATCAATAAAATACACGTATATTTATTAAGATGTTACTTGATTATAGTTCCACTACATTTTTTGTATTACATCACAACATACTTGATTCTACTGTTTTTAATCATTTGTGCTGGTTACTACTATGTTCTAGGGGTTGAAATTTTTATTGAACTGCTTTCTGTTTATTTCAACTTCCATGCTGGAGCTTTCTTCAGGACCTGAAGAAAAAAACCTCAGCATACAGACCAAAACATAGCTTCTAGAAATAAAGCAAATGCAGTTCATTACAACCTCATGATACCTACACTGTCTAAAGTACTGATAACACTACAATGTCATCTTAGGGCTAGTAAAAAAGTACATACACAGTACGTATTGAAAACTGTGCTTCAAATACCAGTTGTAACTTCTTTCCAGCTGGTCTTGAAATTATTTCTGATTCACTATATCTTGTATCAAAAATTAACCTCAAATTATTAAATTATGCACCAAAAAGCTCTGTCACAGATCCTCAAAGTGTTTCCTTTCATGGGTGATGACAACTGTGATCAGTCAGTAACACAGGTTTTTACATATAGCTCTTAATATGGAATACAAAATTACCAAATAGTGTTAAATGTGAAACCTTTCATTTATACTGTAACTTACAATTTTAGCTTTGAATATTTTCATATAACTTGCTGAAAAACATAAATGAATGTCCCTTAAAGAAATTTGGACACAAAACTTGTATTATTAATATCAGCTTGTTTTCCTTCCTCCTAGAAAGGATATTAAAAAAAAAAGAAGAATATTTCTGAAAAATAACTAAACTCGAAGGTAGGTTTATGTAATCACGATCATACAAGTCACTTTTTCAGATCGTAAAGTATAGTTACAAACATTACATAAGTGTCTAGTTGTGGTACCGGAACTGTGATTACCCAAACTGCATTCCTACTCTTCACCAAGTTGATGCACTGGAAATTGTCACTTACTTAATTGTCTTATTTAAATAGTGTTTACATTTAAAAAAAAAATTAGTTAATAAATGTAACTATTATTGAATTTTTATTTTACACAAGATTATCAACAACTGGGTTTCAGTGTTTGTTTTTAACAAAAGGCACTACAATACAGAGGAAGATCACAAATGCTATTTCAGTCAAAACAAACTTGCATAGCTTAAACTGAAATTTGATGAGATACTTACATTTTGGAAACCACCCATCACACTGTATGTAAGTATAAGATGACTATATACAATTTCTAAAATGACAATGCTCAAGCAACAAAAACTATATAGAAAAAAGATGAATTATTTAACCTTGTGACATTTAGTTACTTACACAATATACTTACATTTTACAAAAACATCAACTAATGAATTTACAAACATACGTGTACAAGTCAACCCGTTTTAACAACAAAATGAAAAATATGAAATTATTCTTGCCACTCTTTTAAACTGTATAAACTATGAACTAGAGTAAACAAGACATGACTGATCACAACTTGGCACCTATGGACTATTTTGGTACAATCAGACAACACTCTCGTGCAGAAATTGAGCAGCACAAGTCATTAAAGTTCAGGTTCACATACATTAGTATGCAGCTATGTATACACAGACAATGAACAGTTAATGGATCTGTGCCTGAGTCAAATGTTCACTGTGGTACGGAACCTCTGGTATAACAGTCTGTGATGGATCTCTGAACGCTGAGAATCCACTAGCCCAAGGTCTGTTGCTCTGTATCCCGTAATAGGAAATGGGTGGTGTCACACTGTGGGGATGAGGATGGGGTACAGGTGATGATGCTCGACTACAACTACTTACCGACTGTTGAGATGCAGGAACGTGGTGCCAATCCTTTCCTATCAGTAAAGGTTCAAAATAAGGTGGCATATGTTCAGAGTCTTCATGAGGAGTCATTGTACTGTAACCATGGTCACTCTCACCACCTGCTGGCCTTCGGTATGCACTATTTGCTCGATAAGGAGAAACGGGAACAGCATTTTCAAAACTCTGCAGTACCACATTAGAATGAGCTACTGTAAATAGAGATAAAAAGTAATATATATATAAAATAATCAAATGATTGAAAAGTATAAACCATTGTATCATTATGGTATTGCTTTTTTTTAATAATGTTTTTTTTTAAAACTTTTTTCCATTGGATTGAAATATCATAGATAATCTTAAATGTCCTACATACCAGGATGAAGGTCTTCATTAAATTCTGTTTCATCTGGTTCATTGTCCAACTGAGACATTGGGAATGTTGTATTTGGAGCTGATGGCATGTAGGGAGATGGCCCACGCTGAACATGGTGTCGATAGCAGTAGAATGCCAAAGCCAGAACCAGAAAACAACCCATGATCCCACCAGCTACTGGGCCAACTGGAGTACTCTTGATACCCAACAATTCTTCAAGTGGAAGACCTTCTGGTCAAAAACAAACACACATTACTATAAGCCATGTACAGTGTTTAAATGCTTTGAAGAGTCTTAAAGATATTGTAATCTCAGTTCAGTTTTCCATATTTTTTTGTCATAAACATGTGCATTCATCTTGTTTGTTGACATATCAGGAGAAAACAAGACTCTTTAGTCCACAACCTTCTGGTCAATAATATTCTATTATTTTCTTCTCTAGCTATGGCTATTAAACTAAAACATTTAACTAAGTAAGCTTAAGAAATTATTGACAAAATACTATGAACTTTTTTTATTTTTAGAGTTGAACTTTATCAAATGGGCTATAAGTAATTTGGAAAAATATACCAATAATCTCATCTGCATAGGGTGTTCTGGCACCCAAAACTCCCCCAAAACATTTTCTTTGTTCCACACAATAGCTTTTCTTAAGCTGAGTCACACCATCAGTCTCCATCTGGCACCATTCACATCCAAGTACACCAAAACACTCACTAGAAAAATAACATCATAAAAAATTTATAGGGAAAGGACAACTTAAAAGTTGTAAATTTGTAACTTGTTTTTTAATTTAAATTTCCAAACTTGAAAAACATTTAGCTTTGTTTCAGAGATTCATACAGTTACAAACCATGGACTCTCAAGATTCACAGTCCAGCATGCTTTAAATATCACTAGGCCCATTTAAATTATAAATTACTATACCGTACTATTATATAAACAATACATCCAAGAAATACATATTTATATGAATCAGTTATATATATTATAACTATCTGAGTAATCTAACTGAAATGGAACCAATCTCTGAATCTTTTTCTATATGAATATTAACTAAAACCTCTGAATTAACCAGTTTAAGATCCTGTCACAGTTAAGTTATAGGGCACATTTCATCAGACTACTATATTTTAATAGCAAGCAAAGTATATTATATATACACACACACACAAGTGGACAGCTGTAATTTTCCAGAACATTCAGATTACCAAAATCAATGTTTTAAAAACGTACAGAAACAAAATAAAAAAAGATTTCTGTTCAATAGTAAAATGCTAGAAACATTGTAAGTAACTGTAATAAAGTTTTTGTACACATTTTGTCTTCCTTTATTGATACCATTTCAGTGATTCTTTGAACAAAAGGTGAAATTTAATTCAATATCCTACCTCTCAGTGGTTCGAGCAAGACAATGGTTTTCAAAGCATGGTTCTAAGAACTCCAAGAAATCGGGATCTATAAAAGGCAACTGAAGTTCTTCTGGCTCCCAAGGACAACTGGGATTTCTATCATAAACAAATATAGCTCAATTTGGTATTAACATTAGAATTATATGTGATATTAAATTAAAACTCAAAATAAGTTTTAAACATTGAACTTTTCACATGTAATTACCCACCCTGTAACAGAAAGAAAAGCAACCACACCTACCTAACAGACACACAAATATACACATTGTAATCTACTGCAAATAGCAGTTCAAACTACTTTAGCCTTTCTTAGTAATGAATGAATATAAAGATGTACTTGTGTATAAAAAAACTTTTTATCTATTAGAAAGATATACTATTCTTTTACAGTCTACTAAAATACAAAAAAATGTATATTAAAAATCCATCAAATAATCTAACATTTTTCAGCTGGTTTTCTATATATTACTTAAGAAAACATTTTCTTCATTATAAACTCTTTTTAATCACATCATTAAAAACACATATTACTAGATAATCTAGGTTACCTATCTTCTTCATCCACAAGCTGACCAGTACAAAGGTTCATCTCAAGTGGACACTCACAGGGGCATTCACATTCTTTCTGTTCCATTCGATGACAATTTAAACACAATCTATCTATCTGTAAACATTGTGCAAGTATTTATTAAAATAAAAATTTTAATATACAAAAAATTGAATTAAAAGTACTGTCAACAACTATGCAGAGTGATATACATAAACTTATAGAATTCATCAACATCATCTTTTTTTGGGATAACATCAGATTCGAAGATATTCAGGAACTGAAAGACCCTGGAGCTAGATTTATGTGGTACTTGCAATTTCTACCCTGATACATCTTGTAGTGAATTCCTTTCTCTTAGTTAATGTGTCATTACATTTAAAAATGACAGCCTATAGTGAATCAGTGTGTTTGACTAATGATGAAAAAAGAAAGTAAATGTACAGATATTTTCAAAAGGTGAAAGACAAGGTCACTGATTACACAGGCCTGTGAAATTAAACTACATAAAAGTTCTTTTTTTGGTTTTAATAGCAGATTTTCCATAATTCAGCTATGCAGATTTCGAAAATAATATTCTTTTTTTTAACACGGAAGGATTTTTACAAATTGGGAAGAAAAATCTCTTACTTAGATCAAATTATAATTTCGTTTACCACAATGAACATTTTTTTATTATTATGTTTGTTAACAAAAATTCAAACTGAAGAAAAGGGAAGAACATTGATGTCAAACAAATATGCATCCTCATTCATCCTGATTTCTTTTGTGAAATCTACGTCTTGTAGTCTCAAACTGTGTTGTGGTTTTTTTTTTTTATGTATTGCATTATGACGTTTTGTAAAAAATCTGTACATGACGAAGAAAAACGGATATCATTTTTGGATTCAGCGTCCAGGAATTACTGTAGAACATGTAAAAATTTTGAGACAATAAAACCATCGTAGGCTTGTGTTATCTATCTGTCAAAATAAAAGGCAAATAATTGCCAAATATATTTTGTTGTATAAAACATAGCCTTAGTAATGTTGCATCTGACTTTTAATATACTTTAATATGTAATCATTTTATGTATCCTAAATGTATTCAGGGTAACACTTGTGAAGTATCTTAAATTGAGTTAAACCAGTACTTGATTCAAGCATCTGAACCTCAGTTAGCCCAGTTCAACACTTTACTTTAATCTCTGAAGCTTGTTTTAAATACATCTTAATACATCAATAGTATAAAGCTAAAGTTCACCAACTGAGTTGGAGTTTGCTCAAGTTTAAGTCTTAAATTTTGGTAATCTTGTAGTTGATTTGGAATGTACTTCAATACTTTTAATTCAGGGCTAAAGATGTACAACAAAAAGGTACTAGATATTAGGGATGCATGGGTAGTAAAATTTGGCCAAATACCGGGTCCAGGTACCCGGTCACTAAGCTTTGGCTGGGTATGGGTGTCAGCCGGGACCAGGTTTTCTCCTTGCCCCCCCTAAAAAAAAACTAGAAACAAAAACAAAATTGATGTTTACGTTTATTACCTTTAACCGAACAATCACCAACAGAACATTCAAGTTTTCTTTCAACTTTCAATGCTTTGCCCCAACTTCTCAAACCTTAACCTCTATTGTTCTCAAAACCCACACCTTCCCCAGAAATCCACTTCTCAAGCCATGCCTGTTATTAACCCCTATTGTTCTCTGAATACCCAAATTTCAGCAGGTGGTTAGTCTTTGTTGCTCGAAACACGTTTTGTTTTTATTTTTATAACTAAACCAATTACTGACTGTAACTTTCAGTACTGCATTAGTTGCCACAAAGATTAGGGCTTAGATGCCTAATATCGACACTCGACCGAAGCCGAGTATTTCCGAGTAGCCCAATACCCAGCCAGGTACCTGTGCATCAGTACTAGATATAAATGTTTACCACAGATTATTCAGGTTAAGCTTGTTATTATGCCATATTAGGCCCAAGTTCAGCCTAGACTTATAAATTTTCAGAGATTATATCTGGTTATAAGAAATAAAAAATGTTTAACTTTAAAGTAAATTTGTACCATAATTTCCATGCTTCCCTAAATCAGATCTTTTTTTTACTTTTGTATATGAAATTAGAAGGAGTACAAATGTGGTCTTAAAGTTAAGGCTTACAAGAGACTGGGTTCTTGAACACAAGTTCTTGATTGCACGGGTTCCACCTACAAACATTCTAACTGAAACTTGCCTTGAAGATTAAAATATTTCAACAAGGTGTACCAGAAATGGCAATGAACTAATCACAAACTGTATGAAATTTATTGGTACCACAATAGTTTTCATTGTCTTAGATGGGCTAAACTGAATTTAGAATTTAATATTGATATAGGTGGATAAAATATCATTAATAACATAAATACAAGTATATATAACCTGGGAACATCCTTCATGAATGTAAGTACTTGTATGTTTCTCTTATGAATGTGTAAAAATGTAACAACAGTGCACAGAATATTTTCCTATATGTTAGATTTTCATTTCTAAATAATTACACAGTCTTAACTCATCTGAAGAATATTAAGTTAACCCATGCAATCAGTATCTATTTTAAGAAACCACTAGTAGCACCATATGACTTTAATACAAAATGATGTAAGGTAATACCTAACATTTTTGTGAAATAAAACAATTACTACAGGGTCTAGATACTAGGATGGACATGTGGAAAATTGAACACAATTATAATAATACAAAATGAAAATATTTATGAAATACTACAAAACCCTGATTTTACAGCAAAATATGTAATGATTTTCAACTTACCATACTACATGGACAAAAGGCTGTGACGGCTTCACATGTCTGGTTCACAATTCCAAGATATAGGTTAGTACCTGGCACTAGTGTGATCTGAATGATTCAATAATGAAATGCAAAACAAAGTAAATAAATAAAGAAATATTTTAGTAAACCACAATATAAACAGAAAAATAAAGTAAATACAGCTAATACTCCAATGAATTAACTTTGGAAATTATGAAATTAAGTTTTTTCTGAAGTGAAAACTGAAACTGAGACAAGATTTAAATCTACGACTCTGCTAATATGTAAGAAGACATCCACAAGTTTGAATTCCTCCTGCTCTGCACTATAAATTCTTGGACCACAAAATATGACAGTACATTCTAGAGTCACGTACCACAATTATGACTTCTAATGAATTAGAAATGGGATTTAATATATAATGCTGCAAGTAAAAATGATAAAAGCACAGTTTCTACAAGTATTTTGTGACCTTAAAATTTCAATACACAATAATGATTTATGTTTAACATATTATTATTTCCACTGCATCATATTTTATCAATTGGACAATTGCAAAATTCACTGGAAGGAAATTAGTATATTTCCTAAGTTTATAATTTGTAATTCTAAAATAATTGGGGAGTAATGCACATTAAAAATTATCCTAACATTGACTCAAACAAATATTATTGATATCAAGCTTTTCTTTTATTGCCTCTTCATTGGTTGAAACTGAAAATACTGTCACTTGCCTGATATTTTGCACAATGTTCTCCTCGAACTAGGTTGGTCAACACTCTATCAAGAGTTAGGTCGAACTGAAAGACAAGGTTGATCACTAAATAGATCATTTAAGACGCATTACCAATGACAAAAAACAAAGAAAGTAGAGAAAACTAATATGCTTCTTAATCGAATATAATAAAATAATATACAACAATTTACAATTAATAGAAAGCCCAATTCAATTCATATGCTCACAATAAAAGTTACTTATAGGCAACAAGATTAAAAATAATCTGTAATGATAGAGTAATATTCACGCTATTTTGACTAAATACACTTTGACAGCATATAACTTTTAAAACTGGAATACTATTCCTGCTTTGTTGGAGTAGTTTATGAGATACAGGTTTTCCTTATGTACAAAACTGGGGCCACTGTTTGTGTTTCAATCTTGGAAAACAACATCTTTTACAGTGATGTACCCCCCCCCCACCCCCACACACACACACAAACAGAAAAATCAAGTCATTTCTACATCTCACCTGATAGAATCTCTGTACTGTACGATCACTGAAACTGTTGCACAGCTTTTTCTTCACAAATCCTTCATGGTTCACAATGTCATTGGCTACCAGAGGTTCCTAAAAATTAATACTTGATGTACAATGAAATTTTTACCTTTATGTCAAGAAAAGTTAAAAACAAAATATGAACAGTTTTCCAAAATGAAATGATTCGATAAATCTTGCAGCAACTCATCAATTTATAGTGCTTGTTGCTATTACAAGTTTTGTTTTTTTTTTTTTTATAAAACAAATAAGTAACAAAGAAAAAAATCATACCTTTAAAATCTCTTAGCCATAATTCCAAATTTTGTTTAAGAGTTATTATTAAAAGAAGCTGGTTTGAAAATAGACAAACATGGATTTAAAACACATCAGAAAACAAATTTGGTGAATTTCTTTTTTTTTTTTAAAGAAGTTATGTAAATATAGGTATTTATCTTTTACCCTTTGTACAGTTGAAAATTTGTGTCAGAATGTCTGCACCATGTTTTCTAGTTCCTGACCTAGATACAGTGAAAAGGCTCAAGAGTACACACATACTTTTGTTCACGATAACATTTCACTTTTCTGTATAGTTTTATTTAAAATGTGGTGATTAAAGAATTACTTCAAAACTGATGAAATAAGTGAAAAGTAGGTGCATTTTGAAGGTACAGACAAATTCGTTTTAGTTAAATTCTATAATTTTCGTTAATCATTCAACAATGGTTTCCCATCATTTTTTGATGGGCTTTTATACTAGTAATCATTATATTTTTCATGGAAACTGCATTATTCTGAGACCTCTGAGAAAAAAATTAGATGAAAAATAGCTATAATCTTAATGCTTCATAGCCTAATTATTCAAAAAATTATTTCAAACATCTCTTTAAGATGTTCCTTAATGAAGTATTGTAATCTAGATTTTAACTCTTTCTAGCAAAATTATTTTGTACAAATATTCTAAGAAACAAAAGTTCAGACTTAAAAAAATGTTAAATCTCATAAGCTGCTTATACTCTTCAAGCTATTTCTATTGTCTCTTAGTTCCTTCACTTAGAGATAACAAACAAATCAACTTTTGTCTTGAAATACATCCTGAACTCTTAACTCCTTTGACAAGTGTCAACAAACATGGTCACATCCATGAAATGCAGACATATGCAAGGCATAAATGAAAGTACAATCAGGGATAAAATCAGTGAAAGTGAGACTTATAGTTATTTAATATCAACTCAGAAAGTGATTGGGGTATTTTAATTAAGAAAGTGATTATTATATTGAGACTGAAACTTTTGACAGTGGCTGAACTTTAAGTATGTAGATAGAGAACTGCATCCGAGTTTTGTGGCAACAGTGAAATATCGGTTTATGTTCAGGATGAAGAATGCATTTTTCAATACTTAGAACTCTTTTTCAAAAACAGTTTGTTTTAACTGACTGACCAGCACCCTGCTTCAGAGCACACCATGGAACAACAAACTATTAAGTAAATTATGTGAACAAAATGTTGTATTTCACCATCATTTCAAACAGTTAACTTCTACACAATGACAATCATTATTATTAAAAAGGAAAAAAGTACCCACTGCAAGGTGCATTTCTATCCCCAAAACTACCTACTTAAGGAGTTAATAATACATTAAGTAAACTTAAATTCAGTCCATCAATACATTAAGGTAATGAACTATAATGTGAGAAACTTAATAGTCACACAAATTTCAGAAGTGTTACAAAAAATATTTATAAATTTCATTATTCCAGAAGTCTTCAAAAAAAGTAAATATGTTATTGAAAACTGATATTGTGAGTTTTTCAAAAGAAAGACAGTTTTTGGTGTTCTAGTTCATTCTAGAAGATATGAAAAATACCTTGTGGGTTATGTGCTGTTGTTCAATTGGTCCACGTCCATTTGGTTCAATAAGTCCAGGATGAGCTATTAAGTAGCCTTTATCATCCATTATGAAACACCTGAAAGATAAAACTTTAATTTAATAACTGTATTTACAAAAATTGTTTCACATTCAAAATCAATAAAAAAAAAGCAGTATAAATAAAAAGTTATTGGCATCTTATTACACATAAGCCAATCCTATAGTTCAGGTACAGCCATCTCAAATTTTCAACTGCTGATCAGAGGAAAGCAACATTTGTCACAGGAGTCTTGAACAGCTCTTGGAACCAAATAAATAGACTGACTGTCATTTTTATAACATGTTCACATACTTTTCAGCAGCATCCTTTCTCATACCTTGGGCTGTTCAATCTGCAGACCAACATGCTAACCATTAAGGACACTCCTGACCCATGCACCTCTGGTTGGACATTCAAAAACAGTTCTCACTCAAGATAACCAGGCTATGTCTCACCCTGTATCTAACCAATAATTGTTTTCATTCATAATAAAAAGTTAAAATTAGAACAGAAAATGTAAGAAAATCCTTCTGACTTGTGTGCAATGTTTCAATCAAATGGTACTTACAACACTCAATGCAATGTTTCAATCAAATGGTACCTACAACACTCAATGCAATGTTTCAATCAAATGGTACCTACAACACTCAATGCAATGTTTCAATGAAATGGTACCTACAACACTCAATGCAATGTTTCAATGAAATGGTACCTACAACACTCAATGCAATGTTTCAATCAAATGGTACTTACAACACTCAATGCAATGTTTCAATCAAATGGTACTTACAACACTCAATGCAATGGTTCAATCAAATGGTACTTACAACACTCAATGCAATGGTTCAATCAAATGGTATTTACAACACTCTATGCAATGGTTCAATCAAATGGTATTTACAACACTCTATGCAATGGTTCAATCAAATGGTATTTACAACACTCTATGCAATGTTTCAATCAAATGGTATTTACAACACTCTATGCAATGGTTCAATCAAATGGTACTTACACCACTCTATCTTTCTCACACAATGGGATGGCATCTACCAGCAGTTTGTAAAAGTATCCTAATGTAAAGTCCATCCCCAAAACAGCTTTGATGGTGTCAAATGAACTATGCATAGAAGCATGTCTGTTTTACATAGAAAAAAGAAAAAAACTAATAAAACTCCAAAAATAACACAGTCCATTATATAGTATTACTAAAAACTGTAATACTTACAAAAAAATATATTTCTTCATCCTGGAATCTACAACAACACACTTTGACAAATGCAATTTAAAACTGTAAATACTATTTTAAGAGCCAACAATTTAAAAATATGTTCTTAAAAGCTTCCCAATAGATATAAAGTAAAAATAACTTACACTAACCAAACATATATAATGAAAATATATAATCAAGCTTTTTTCCCTCACAAATGTTTGAATATTACGTAGCTTTTGAAAGGACTATTTTAAATTACACTGTTCAATTGAATAAAAGTATCCCCAAAATGAATCACATTTCAGTCAAAACTGATGATCATAACAAAAGAAACATTATATATATATATATATATATA